GCAATATCTTTTAAATAAGTCAACAAATCCCATGACAGGATCGTTTTAAAATGTTTAGTACATATTAAATTAGTAATATAAAAAATACGAAAAAAATTCATTGACAGGAATTTTTTCAGCTAAAGGTCCTGTTCCTCCTTAAACTTTTAGCACCAAGGTAACATATTCTTAATTTTTTTTTCACCTGAAAAACCTTTACTGAATGTGATTTTTTTTATATTTGTTTTTTTTATTGAAATATTACTAATATTTTCCAAGTCTATTTCATATTCCAGTTCTTAGGAGAAAAAATTATAAGAACCATCCACATTTCTAAACTCGTGACATGATATTAAATCTTTTTCAAAGAAAAAATTTGTTTGTATCATCTGTCCTTAATGATAAATTCTATAATACTACATTTGATAATTTTCACGAACACACAACTTCCTTCTTATAATAGTAATCGCTAAAAGAACAATAAATAAACAATTCAAACTTGTGTTCGTTGGCTAATTGATCATCGTTTGCTCTTGTGTCGCAAAATAAGGGGCTGATCCTTAAATCACAGGTATAAATCCACTCCGGAACGTGGAGACCGGATTTTCGAATGAGGTCGTGTAAATTAAGGTCCCGTGTTGCAGTAGGTGTTGGTACGAAAAAATTCCCTAACGACCTAATAGTCTTTTTTACCCCTTACAACTTAATAGTCCTGACTTTCGATTACAGGAATAAATGTGCAGCCTTCCACCAAAAGAAATGGCATCTCCATATACGTGAAAAATTTTAGAGAATAACGTAAAGCAACACCCCCCCCCCCCCCCCCTAAAAAAAAAAAAAAAAAAAAAAAAAAAAACAATGGACAGTACACACAGTACTCCAATATGGTTTTAAAGTACCGACAACACGCTCCAGTGAACACTGTTATTTGTGAATCCTTCTATCAGTGAGTCATGTAGGAAGATATACTGCTCCTAAAAGTATTGTAAAAAAGCCGGTGTAAAATGAAAATTTAATAAAATATCTTCAATCATTATCATATCACAGTACAAATAGATCCAAAACCTATTTTCATAATAAATTTCTGGTAACAAGGTGATCAGAGGGGGGTGGGCCTAATTTACAATAAAATTTATATAACTATGGAGGAAATGAAAATGTTTAAAAATCAAACCGTGGTTGTAGTCAAGATGGTCATTATTGTCGGGTAAATTATATATTTCATCGAATTTGAAAATAAATAGATCTTACGCATGTTTGTACAGACTTCCCGCGTTCATGTCGAAGATAAGCTACATATCCTTTGACGTCAATCGTCTGGTCAGCAGCGCCCCCTTATACGAGATAATCAAGGGAGATAAATGTCCCTGTTCTACCAATTCCTGCGCCGTAATATAAAGGGCGTGTCATTCTCAGTACGACTTTTGATTTATTAACAGATTTCATATGACAACATACTTACAGAAGTAAAAGTATTGCATATGTTACTTTAATAAAATTCATGATTTAATAAAAAGGTCCATATTCGGTAGCAAAATAATCATTATTTAGAAATTTGTATATCTTAAACTTCTATTAGAAATATGTTCATTTCAAACTTTTTAATTAATTGAAGGAAATATGTAAAAATGTTAATTTTCTTATACTGTGTAATAATTTCAATCTCGATCGCGAGTTCGTTTCTTGATATTACTTAATACTGAATAATGGACACTTATTATGCGTTTGGAAACTGCCAGTATTAGGTATGAATATTAATGTTTTTATGTTTGAAAAATATAGCTTTTACGTTGCTCATTTACGCTATTTAGACGATGACTTATCAGTTGTGGAATCAAATGAAAATTACGCAGCATACATCAGGTATCTTAATTCTATATTTGGCAGGGAATTTGTTTTGGTTACTTTTTTAAAGATATATGAGAATCATATTCTAGTTTGTCTGGTATGACTTGGTCATTAATGACAGCTGAAAGTGGGATAATTACGTAACGGTTTCGCTCATTATACAAATTATCATAAATTTCTAACAATCATTAATGAACAAATATAGAAAACAAACTAGACAGTGTTTATACAAACATTCCATAATCATTCGCACGAGGTGAGAATATCTTTAAACTGCTTCAAAATCGAGACAATATAATAAAAAAAAATATGATGTTACAATCTCTGCTGACTTATAAAAAACTATGATTTCCAAAAGTTAAGCTGTAGTGAATTCCTTTACAATAACATTATATCAAGTCATTATTGGCATATTTCATACCAATCAATATGTTATAGATCTTATATTATACTAATTGAGAACGTATAAATCTTATCATAACAGAGGGCTTGCGAAGTTTTGTCTGGTCGACAAGAGGTCTTTAATTGCTCCACTTTCGCTGTTTACAAATTTTCTAATACAAGTTTTCCTCTAATCGTGATCTGTATTCGATCTTCAAGGGATACCTAATATTCAGCATAGTTATATCTCCACCTTTTATGTTTTTTACACTTCCATGTATTTACCTGCAGTGAACAACAATTGGTCCGTCTGATGACGTCATATTATTCTTAACTAAATTCCGGAAGCAGATGAGTGACGTCAACTCCTTGGAACTGAGTTGTCAGGCCACGTGGTGAAATTAAACTGTGTAACTTTTTTTCCTTCTTCCTGACCAATTAGAGAGGAAATGGGGGTAAAATACAAATCTCAAATTATTATACAATTAATTTTTAGACTTTGTATACTTCAAATTATATTCCAATCGGAAGTACATGTTTTGATTCCATTATGTACTGGAGTCACTCCAAAGAAACAGATGAACTCAAACTTCATAATTTTAATTTTCACGTTTATAACAAAGACTTAGCTGAAATACATTATGATATATCCATTATACGAATATATATCAAAAAACTCAATTTTCATTTTTTTTTTAATATACGCTATGATATATCCATTATACGAATATATATTGAAAAAAAACCTCAATTTTAATTTTTTTAAATATAAATTCAAATTATGCCCTTCCTTAAAAAAAAGTTCCATTTTTCACATTGCAAAAGTTAATGTGGACATAAACCCCCTCAAAAATATATTCGCAAAATGATAAGTCATTAATGTCTAGCTATGGACAATACATATAACTCAATTTTATTTGGCTTTTGAATGATACAAGACAATATTGTTAATATGCATTTAACCTGATAAAATACAATCAAATAGCGCAATAAGTAGTTGTCATACACATCCACTGTGTCGAGTCTAATTGTGTATGGACCAATGTCCAGCTCTGTGTAAGGCCAGTACTTCAGACACATCACCTAAAAAGAGGAAAGAGGAAGTAAAATGCAAACCGCATTATAATCAATCCTAAAAGTTTAAATGTTAAATACCATTTTTATATCATGGAAATCATACACATTTATATTAGGATCATGCATTTCATGTCCTCTGATTAATAAGAAAGAACATACAGATACATACATGTACATGTATCAAAACCCTCTTTATATGCAAATTTAACCTTTTCGCTTATAATCTTAAGCTAAAGAGAGAATTCTGTTATTCTATGTATCAGTTTTGTTAGGTAATTATCAAGGACCTTATCTCCTCCGTACAACCGTTCACGGTAGCTCAGTCGGTAGAGCGCTCGCTCCGTGATCGGGAGTTCGTGAGTTCGCATCTCGGCTGCGACCGACCTAGTCGTTAAAATGGGTAGCAACTGTTCCTTCGCCATGCTCTCGGCACTTTGAAGTGAAAGTTGCGGGTCCTTCGGATGAGACCTTAAAAACCGAGGCCCCGTGTCAGCGGCAGGCGTTGGCACGATAAAGATCCCTCACTGCTCAATGGCCCTGAGTGCCGAGTAAAGGTCAAAATTTGAAGTCCTTCACCGGCATACGGTGACGTCTCCATATGAGTGAAAAATTCTCGAGAGGGACGTTAAACAATATACAATCAATCAATCAATCCTTTGTACAGATTCGTCGGCATAACGATTCTTGTAGAGTCATTCTGCCAAATTACCGTCCAGAAATCTTCTAATGTTTTAGGATTGAAAGGACGTGATGCATTAAAAAAATAATAAAACATTCAGATTAAAAAATTAACCTGTGTAATTAATTAAACTGATTATCAGTTGGCAATACTTCGTTTTCAAAAATAAAACTGTGGATCTTGTGCGGCTATGTAAGCATGTTCTTTGGCGAAACCCTAAAACAAGTAAATTTGCTATATATGACAACAAGAATCGAAATATATACTTCCTTTGGAAAATTACAAGACAGAAATGTGACACGGAAATAAATCGGAAAAATTCTTTTTACACTGACATGAATGTATGTAGCATTAACATAATAATCGTCTTTATTATCTTCTGTTCTGACTAACTTCACGCGATTATAGTCATCTGTAAAAAAATGAAATAAGATTTAACATGTTCTAAAGATTGATTCAGAAATGGTCCACGCAGACCATTTGTTTTCTGCAAATGTATAAATAATCACGTTTTCTTATTCGCGTAAAGAAATCTTATTAAATCTGAAGTAAAATGCAAAGACTTTAAACTCACAGGGATAGATGCCTTTGTATCTGTTTCCTCTCCTGTTTGAAATCTTAAGTGCGTTTGAATAGGATTCTAGCAATCCATAAGGAAGGTCCTGTGAAGAAAAAATATTAACTTATTTCATTTTAAACTAAATATTGATTCAATGTTTTTATACTTGCCTCGATTGAAAACGTAAATGTCAATCCTGTATTGTAACGAAAGTAGATTTTTCTGCCCCTATTCCCAGTCTAAAATCAAGACTATAGAATTTGGTATATCTTCATACAATTCTTAATATAGTATTAATCATCATATTTTGATGCCTGAAATAAAGTTGCAGTTGTTATTTAATAGAATTCCAATCACCTTCCCAAATTTTATTTGCTGAAATTCATAAACGGTAGACTGAATAGAAATATAACAAACTGGGAAGACTAGTAAGCATTGCTACATACATTAAATTGTTTTCAAGTGTACCAATGCGTTCTCTCTCTGGCAACTCCTTGATAAACTGCTTTATTGAGATCCTTTGTGACGTCAGATTACTGTAATCTACGACAATAACTTCTTCATCGACATATCCAGCCTCGTCTTGAGGAATCTCCTCTAACTCGGACTCATTATTCGACTCCGATCTCGGAAGATTCTTTGGAGGGTGACTTTTCTTTTCTTTCTTTGATCTTTAATTATTCCAAATTTTACATAAAAACAATTTTAAGCCCTAAATTATATTTGATTTGATTTTTCGTTGGCAGATATACCTGGGTATTAATATAGCCTTTTGATGAGGTCAATCCATGGATAATTAGACTTAGAAAAAATGCATATCGACCTCGCACGAATATGACTTTCTTTGAAGTGGATATATCTCTTGATTGACCAAACAATTGACAACATTTGTTATATTATTTTTTACAGATATTGACAAAAATATTGAAATAATGGCGAACAAGCCATAAGGTTATTCTGCTGTCATTTTTGACACTTGGAGACAGAGATCAAAGAAAAGGATGACTGCACTTAACGCTGTGTTTTAGGTCTTTTTCGATCGCTTCTGTTGCTTTTAAATATTTACTTAATTTCACTTTTACATATTTACTACAGAAGTATGTCAACTTGAAATATAAAAAATAATTTTAGACTGTATTACAATAATTAATTTCATGTTTTTTTGTACCTAGGGTTTTCCAAACAGAGAATTTACACTTAACTGCCCTTGATTGAACATTATGTATGTATGAGAGGTGGAGCTAACATCGTAAAATTGGATCTAAAATTAGACTGGGTGAATAACAATGACATGTATTAAAAAATACGAGATCTCTATTTCCCATCTTGCTATTTATTCTGTATGGCACAAGTACATTTTTTTACAAAGGTTTAAATCGTATGAACCTATCCATTAAGTAAATAATATTTTCAATCGATGGCTGACTACTGAATGGGTTCGAACACAGTGTCCTAGTTTTCACAAAACATACTGCCTATAAGTCACGTGACGAAATTTTGTATTCACAAAATTACCTAAGGAAAGATATAACGTGGTGAATTATAATATTCAACTTGTTACAGCCCTTGGTTACAATAGAGATAGCAGTTTTTTTTCTTTTTAACCATGAGCGCTTGTTTGTCTATTGTTCTCCTTTTAACAAAACATTGCTAACTCAAATATACAACTACTGTTAAAAGGAGAACAATAGACAAACATGCGCTGACTATGTATAAAATCAGTAAAAAAGTGGGTTTCCTCATTATCGTACGGAAATTGCAGAAATTGTGTTGACCATCGCCTTAGAAAACAGATTCGTACATCGTAAATAAATACTTCTATTTAATGTTATTCAGTAAAGTTGTAGATTAGATGTTGACCATTTCTGCAATTGAAAGAAAAATGTCAGAATCTATTAATAATAACTCAAGTATATATACATTGTTGAAATATACTTTGATTATATGATCAAGTTTGAGCCAATCAGGGATCTTGATTTAAATGAAAAAAATAAAATTAATATATATCAAACTAAGAACTTTACCTTGAAACGAAGAGAATCACGACAACCACTAGTAATAAAACAAGCATTGCACTCATTGTCACCAACAGGATTGGGTTTTTGATCTCGGTCTCCTTCATTATTTCTATCTTTTGAAACTTTATTATCTTCTGAAAAAGTATCTGTTTTGTTTAATATGTAATCCGATTCCGTACGCCGATGGTTTGACGCGTTTGACAGTTACTCTTAATGCTTACATTGTTTTACGGATTTCAGTCCCCTCACAATGATAAATTTGCAATGGTGTCATACACCATTGAAATATATGTTTAGTTTTGCAAATTATCTGGTTTACTCACTTAACATTATTTGATGATTATTTGCAGTACTACACGTTTTAGTGCAAAATAAGGACAAGTGACGCACCCACTTACATAACTTATAGCTCTTGTACACTTTTTCAATTAATTCGGGATTTAAAGGCTACTCATACACTCTACAAAACATTATAGAATATCTTTCCAGCTCCATTTCGTTTTATTCGTATTGTTTGAGATATGAAATATAGAATGTGTATACCTATGAAAACATCCGTCAAAGCAGTACTAGACTTGCTCCTCTTAGAATCTGCACTGATGGTAACTACTTCAGTTTTGTTATCTACAAGAAACAACGTTCATGATTGAACAAATCACCATTAGGAAACAAAACCAAAATAAAAAAAGAGAACAAAAACATAATAACACGCACATATTAGTGACAACTGAATACAAGCTAAGAAACACATAGATTTCAAATTCTTGGCATTAGTAAACAGCTACACTCAAGTTTTAAATTGGCAGTGCTGATTTATTTCACATTACTTTGAAAAATAATTGTGTCTATAACACATAATATATCAGAAACAAAACACAGTCTTGAACAAAAAAATATGCCTCAAGAAATTACTGAAAGGTCTTTATTGATAAAAGTTTTGGTTAATAAAAAATAGTTACAGGTGGTCGGGTTTTGAAATTCACAGTGACTTCCATTGTAACCTTCTCTACAAATATGACAACGTCCGGTTTGTTGGTCACATTTCATCGTGGTGCAGGTTGATGGACACCGATGCTGACAATAATCACAATACAAAGATCCTCTGCATTGATTACATACCCCAGATATAGGATTGCAGGAAACACATGCCTTCCTACATTTAGCACAGTTTATTCCATAGTGATTTGCAGGACAAACTATGATTAAAATTTAAAAATTGTTACTGACATCATTACAAATAGAGGATATGAATGAATGTAGTTTTGTATCACTAAAAATGATTCTGGTCAAAATGTGTGTTAAAACTTCAAACTGGCATTGATCAATTTTCAAATAGGATTATCAATCATTTTCAACAATGAAGAAAATTTAGTTGCTGGGTGAAACAAAGTCACATACTATTTAATTATCGTAAAATATACAAATAATTACTTATAGGATGCACTTCAAACAGCCTCATTGGTCCTTCATCGGTCCTTTTAATTACGATATAGTTGCCTTTCACTTCTTTATTACACTCTACTATAATGTGGTATTTTGTTGCTGGATTACTAAGCTTCAGTATTTTGCACAGGGTCGACGTATTTAGATGCCGCAGAGTTCTAGATACGTGGACCTCGTATTCTCCTTATTAAATTAAGACACAAAAATGTCAATAAAGTCTTACAAAAGTATATTTTAATATTATATTATTTTTACAAACTGGATAGATTTTAGCCTAAATAACCTACCTCCTCTGATAAGAAGAAGTACTGTATACAGGGTTATTTTCGCCCCGTCTTATTTTCGCCCTTTCACACTTGCAAAAGCAAACAATTTTGCCCCGTTTTAAATTCGCCCAGTCATAGTTTTGTTTAAGAAATTATACTGTATTCTTTGAATTCGCCCCGTTTTAAATTCGCCCAAATGAGAGTATGGCGAAAGGGGCGAAAATAAAACAGGCGAAAATTTCCCTGTATACAGTATCCATTTGATTTCGTTACTAGTGTTCAGCATCATATACCATGTTGCATTGATCTTTACTTCAGTTAAAAAGTAGTTGTTTAGATCGCCATCTAAAGCCTTTGTGCCTTCAATTCCACCAGAATAGTTCTTTACTGGGATCTTCCAAGGTTCAAATTCTAATTGTTAAGGGAAGAAAAGAGAGAGACTTTTTCACTTCCAATGTTAGATAATTATTTATAAAACAGTTATAAAAATCGCTCAATAATCAATACTTATTAGTTTTATTTCATCAATTTGTATTGCACCATCGTCTAGTCTTGTGATTATAATTTTGTTTCCTACAACAGGTCCATAGGTATCGAGTTTGCAAGTGAAAATCTCACTTTTGGCAATAGTTTCGCACGTTTTCACAATCATGGAACAATTTTTGGTTCTATGTGTGTCTTCTTGTATTTTGATATCATATTTTCCTACAGAAAACAAACAATTCTTATTTAAACATATTTATGCCTGCCCAATCCCTCATATATCAAACATATATAAATCAAATCTAAAGAAAAGTTACATGTAATTATAATTTATTATGATTTGAAATCAAACCTTTATTGAGAGTACAGGAAACGTTTAAGACAGATCATTTCAGCATACCACAACTAATGCTCAGGAAAATCCAGAATATTGGATAATCTCTTTCAAGACTCATTGACCAGCTCTGGTTTACGTCATTCCGGGTTAGCGAAAATGTGTCCATGTCGTCATCACAAGCGTAATGTGCAGAGTACGATCTGTTTGTAGAGGATTGTTGCGCCTTACATCTTATATCCTGAGTATAACCTTTCAAGCAATCTCCTAACTTTACAAGAGAATTATCATTTATGTGCTAAATTTTATAAACTTAAATAGAATGAACTTGAATCCATGATTCAATTGCGTTACAATTTATTAAATTTTACAATGGTACTAGCTGAACTAGCACAACTCTTTTGAGTAAATCAATTCATAATGCTTGCGTTTCATTTATTATGTATAATTATATTTATAATATTTTCTAACAATGCATACAGCTGTGTGTATATTGCGAAAAATCGCATGGATTAAGAGTTAAGACACCTCTATATTTTCACCTTAAAAACTAAATTGCTCAATACTCATTATCCGTTGTTTCAACGTTAAATTTTCCTAACTTTCCTAAATTGAAAATATGTTGCATCTTCCACGTTGTTTCAACGTTGAAATCAACAAACCGTCAACTTTTCATTTTAAACCTTGTTTCAACTCTACAATATCAGAAAATACTCAACGTTGAAAACATGTTGAATCTTCAACGTTGTTTCAACATTGAAATGTCAACAAACATCCAACGTTGAGAATTTGTTGCAACTTTGAATATCGAAGAGCATTCAACGTTGAAAATATGTTGCAGCTTCAACGTTGTTTCGACGTTGAAATATCGACGAACATTCAACGTTGAAAATATGTTGCAGTTTCAACGTTGTTTCAACGTTGAAAAAAGGTTGAGGATTCAACGTTGAAACCTCAACGTTGAAATATAGTTGATCAACGTTGCAACCTATATTCCACCTCCTTTCAACGTTGAAACAACGTTGCGTGCCTGCTGGAAATTGTACATATCGTACAAATAAACAATGTCCAGATGAATATTGGAAGAGCTACTACCCATCTCTTTGTCTGTAAGTATTTTTGTAAATAAATATGCTAGTAAAAAAAATTAATTCAAATTATAATTCCATAGTGAAAATGTGATATTCACTTTTCTGATATTAAAATTTCTTTTATTAGAAAAAGTGAGCATTACCTTCTTTCCTTCTTACGGATTTTCCATAATGTTTCTCATGGACTTTTCTATCGTGTTATCCTTAAAAATTCTTCAGCTTTTGGAATGAAAAATTCTTTTCGCGATTGCATGTAATGGTTACTTTTTATCTGGAATATGAATATTGACGCACGGGTATTCAATTTCATAGGGGAATTTTTAATGTGTGTCGTTTAAATTTAATTTACATGTATAGTTGTTGTTTTACCCAGATAAAGAACAAGTTTCCAAACCTAAAATGTAAAGGCTTTAGAAATTTAATCATCTACTTTTACGGTAAAAATAAATAAATTTCTTTTTGGTTACATTAAAATGTTTTTGGAGCAAATTGGTGTTACTGGAGGGGGGTTGAATCTGGATGCTTTGGTGTGCGGGGAGGCGTGTATGTTGATTCGGTTATCCAATTAGTAGTATTACGTAAGTATTATCTATTTATCTCCCTTATGTTCTTTACTAATTTAGATCTCTTTTAGGGTTTATTTTGCGGCATGCAGTGATTCGGTCTAGGGTATCTAAACTCGTATTTTATGTTCTTTTGTCATTCGACAAAAGTTAGCCACGACTTATCATTTAGATTTAAAGATGTCCCATTTAGACGGTAGCGAGAAATCTCCACGTGGTAGTCCGGGGATAAGTTTTACTCACGACCAAAATAGAGGTGCATTCTAGAGTCTAGCCGCAACTGTTCTTAAATTTTGAATGAGGACCTGTCTTCGCCCCTGCAAGTTAGTCGAGAACATAAAGAAGTTAGAAGCTAAAATTTCAACTAACGTTTTCAGAGAAAGTTCTTTTGATTTCAAGTCGAAACATACACACACAATACACAATACAATAATTTCTATAGTGCATTATAATAATGACACTCTAGTGCGCTTCACATTAAAATAGATATAAGCTTACAAAATGGCGAACAAATTACTTTAAAAAATACATAATACATATTTGTGCATAAAGATAGGATATCTAAAAGACTTTATGTGTACTAAAAGACCATAAAATATTACGTTGCGTGGGAGTCACTTTAATAAATTTACAACTAATGAAACATTAAAAAAAAATATTAAAGGAACATGTATTCGATCAGTAGAGCACGAAATAAGAAACATTAAAAACTTTAAGATCAGTTCAGTGTCCTTTTACATTAGGTATATATATCACTATAAAAACAATATTTACATTCCCTCGTAAGCTCGTTCAAAGAGGTGAGTTTTAAGTCCTTTTTTAAAAGCGGAAACAGATTTGGAATTTTTAAGACATAGAGGAAGAGAGTTCCATAGTGAGGCGGCGGCGTAGTCAAATCGACGACTGCCGTACGTAACAGTTCTAACTTTAGGAACATCCAAAAGAAAAGAACACAGTGAACGCAAGGACCTAGTAGGAGAGTATATTTTGAGAAGCTCGGACAATTAATTTGGAGCACGATTGTTCAATGCATTCTATACAAACAGAAGTATTTTATATTGACTTCTGTATTGGACAGGGAGCCAGTGGAGATCTTTCAAGATTGGAGTCACGTGATCAGATTTCCTGGTACGAGTTATCAGCCGCGCAGCAGTATTTTGGACTTTTTGGAGTTTATTCACAAGTTGCTTATTTATGCCATACATCAACGAGTTTGCATAATCGAGTCGGGAAGTCACAAGTGAATTTATCAAAGTTTTACATGCGTCGTCTGTGATGTACGGACAGATGCGACCGATTTTCCGGATATTACTGAAGCATGTTCTAACTATTGAACTGCAGTTTTTCTCCATACTTAGAGTCTGGTCGAAAAAGGCTCCAAGGTTCTTCACAAAAAGGAGAGTCAGTAATTGAGCTTTCTCCAAAAACAAGATTGAATGTAGAAACGTCCTTTATTTTATGTTTTGGACAAAAGAACATCAATTCAGTCTTTTCATGATTTAACTTTAAAAGATTGGTGCACATCCATAATTTTATGTCGACAAGACAAGCACTGAGAGAAGAAGCCACATTGTTCAAGTCTTCGTTTGGCTCAATAACGAGATATATTTGGGTATCATCTGCATAGCAGTGATACCGCATTTTATGACGCTTGCATATATTTCCTATAGGTTTCGAAAACAAACAGTACAACCGGGGTCCAAGAACCGAGCCCTGAAGCACACCGATTTCAAGCGATTCCGCATTTGATAAGGTTGCACCTATCGAAACTCTCTGACTCCTGTCAGTTAAATAGGACTTTATCCATGACGGCACAGAACCGGATATCCCGTATGAGTATTCAAGACGATGGAAAAGAATCTGGTGGTCTATAACATAGAACGCGGCCGACAGATCGAGCATGACAAGTACAGCATAAGAATTGTTGTCTAAGGCGGTAGCGATGTCATTGTGAACACGCAACAGTGCAGTTTCGGTTGAGTGATACGAACGATATGCAGATTGTAGAGTATCGTGACATGACAAAGAAAGGTACAAGTTTATAACAGATTTAAAAACTGACTTTTAAAGTATTGATAAATATATTGACTAAGTGATGTTTTGAATGCTAACAAAATAATCAAAAAGTTGTTCTTCATATTAAATACCTAAAAAAAAAGTTATAAGAATTGCTGATAAGTACGGCTGGGATGTGGCTAGTGAGTATAAGAACCCTCCACAGATAATCAATGTACCTAAAAAAGTAAAAGATATTTTGTTTTGTGAAAAAGAGCACGTAAATGTGCAAACAGTTAAAGGAAGTCTAGTAAATAACATTTCTTAATTTTGCTTACATTGTATACCATATGTTATTTATCATTTAAGTTTGCACGGTACACTTGTGCCAAATTGATATCTTCGCTTTTTTGAACTATGCTGGTTAATGCAGATGGAAAATTTGAAGACTTTGTGATTTGCTATATTGAATATGACAAATGAAGAATTTTTTTCCCATTGCAGGGTCTTATACATGTAAGAAAGTGTTTTCGCTGGAGTGAATTTTTTCTCTAACGTTAAATAGTTCGTCGTGTTAATTTAGATATTTAGACTTACTCAGGTGCATTTGTGTTTTCTGTTCTGAAGTTGAGACATTTTTCCGTAATTTTGATTAGGAGTCAGGACTAGTACTGATATTCTGCATCGTAAGGTGAGTGCCTAATTTTTGTAATGATAGGCTGAGAGCCTGATATGTGTACTGATTGACTGAGAGCCTGATATGTGTAACGATTGGCTGAGAGTCTGATATGTTTAACGATTGGCTGAGAGCCTGATATGTGTATTGATTGGCTGAGAGCCTGATATGTGCATTGATTGGCTGAGAGTCTCTGTCTTTGATTGGCTGGGAGCCTGATATGTGCATTGATTGGCTGAGAGTCTATGTCTATGATTGGCTGAGAGCCTATGCGTATGTTCGGCTGAGAGCCTGATATGTGTATTGATTGGCTGACAGCCAGGATTAAGATACATTGTATGTTTCGTAGGCTGATCTGAGAGCCAAATACATGTATGTGATTGAATGACTTGAGAGCCAAAATGAAATTCAAATGCATGTTAGTTAAGGTTTACAAGATCAGATAATACCTTTTACGATACTCATGTGGAAATTCAGATTAGAAGCTTCAAGACTGACATATACAAAAGGGGTAACATTGCTCACGTTGCAAAACTCAATTCTGATTTGTGTCCCGTTCTATGTTCTATTAATTATTTTAAATTGGCTCGTATTCAGAAAGATTCTAATGACTTTATATACAGGTCATTAAGATAGTTCAAAATATGTAATTCTTGTAATCCTGTAAAAAGTAACAAAGCCTTATCTTAAACTTGTGTTAGAGAACTTATTTTGAAGTCACTGAAAGATGTTGAAGAGGATGCTTCAGAGTTAGGTGTTCATTAACTTAGACAAGGAGGTTCTTCAGCCGCAGCTATTCTAGACATCTCTGATATATCCTTGAAGGCTCATGGACGGTTGAAGAGTGAAACAGCAGAGGACGGTTATGTTAAGGACAGGACAGGAAAGGTTCTATTTGTACAAAAACCGGTATTGAAATCACATATT